CTAAGGCGGGACTAGAACTCCCAGTCTCCTGGTGATTGGCCCAAAGTGCCCTAGCTGGCTTTCATGGCTAAGGCGGGACTAGAACTCATAGTCTCCTGGTGATTGGCCCAAAGTCCCCCAGCTGGCTTTCATTGGCTAAGGCGGGAGTAGAACTCCCAGTCTCCTGGTGATTGGCCCAAAGTCCCCCAGCTGGCTTTCATGGCCTAAGGCGGGACTAGAACTCACCGTCTCCTGCTTTCTAATCTGTTGCCTTAAGCACTAGACCAAAACCTAACCAAATCAGATTCCCTTACTATTTCTCCGGCCTTCATCAAATGTTAGAGCCCTTGGCTAAAGTGATATCGGACATAATCATTACCTGGTTATAAATGGCTTGCTGTAACTTTAAACCCCTTTCATGGAGCTGCAACTATAGGAGAGAAAAAAAAATACACCAGACTCTTATTACAGCCATTCAAAGAACTTAAGCTTTTGCAAAAATAATTATGAAAATGTGACAGGATGTTGGCTCGATTTCCATCCTGAATTCTAAATCTTCCTTTTTTTTTCCTCAAGGAGACCTACCATAGCTTTGATAGCAGCGCTTCTAACTCGTGGATCCTGGTCGCTAAAGTGATCGCCGATGATCAACTGCACGTCTTTGGGAGACTGGCGGTCCGCTTCCTTCAAGCCGCCAGCTTTCTCCACTGTCCCCAGGCAGCCAATCAGGAGGAGGCATTTGTTCCTTACGCCGTGCGAGGAATCGGTCAGATGCTGTGGAGCAAAACAGAAGAGTAGATTCCCCCCCGTGGGTTTTTCTGCTTTCTCGATGCCAGGAGGGTGCCCAAACTTGGCCACTTTAAGCCGTGCGGATTTCAACTCCCAGAATTCCCCAGCCAGCATCTTCAGCTAAGGGATTCTGGGTGTCCCTGAGGTCCACCTGTCTTAAAAAGTGGCCAAGGTTGGATATTCCTGATCTATGCAATTAAACCACTTAAAGAACCCGAGTTCTTTCACGGGCTGACCGTTTTTAATTACCTTGCAAGCCACGTCTACGAGATGTCCTCGCACTGCAGGGTTCTCTTGAAGTTTCTTCCCGATCACCAGCAAGGTATCTAAAAGCTGAGCCAGAACTTGGTGGGATTCTGGAAAAAGAACCCAAAGCCCACTTCCAGTCACAATGCAACAACCGTGTTGTAGAAACAGGGAGAGCTCCTGTATAAAACAGGGAGCAAACGGCACAACGACCTCGCGCTGATGGCGTTACCTAGCTGGGTAATTAAACGTCTGCAGGCAAACCACCTTGCTTGCACCAAGGGCTCTTAGGGGAATCTGTTTCTGGATGGAGATTGATTGCCTACCAATCATAGCTTGAGAACAAGCATGCAATCTGGGACGGAGTCTGGTGTTTACACGACACACCACGGCGGGATTTTTTTTTTAAATAGTGATTGTTTTAAACAAAGCCCGCCGTGACCGGATTCCCTAATACAGTAGGGCTAACACATCCCACAACGCAAAAAGCAGTCCAGTTACCTGTACAGGTAATCCTTGATTTATAACCATTTGTCTAGTGACCATTTGAAGTGACCATGGCGCTGAAAAAAGTGACTTATTAAAAGTGACCTTTTCACATTTCCTGGCCATTAACATCCCTACGGTCACACTATGATAAAAAAAATCCAGGCACTTCTGGCATGTATTTATGACAGTTGTGATGATGCTCTGACTCAGTTCCCCAAACACGACAAACCCTCTGAAGTGAACTCAGAGATTCCTTTATTAGGAGTGTCGGCAGCCCCGGCAAAAGTTTCTCTCCTGCCGCAGGCTAACAAGTCCGTCCGTCCGAGAGATGAATAGCTGTGTGTCACATTTATTCATCTCCACCCCCTGCCTTTTATCCCCAGAACTAGGGTGGGGCTTCTCTAGCAGTGGTGGCTCTTCCGTTCCAAGGACCGGCCCATAGATTTCCACTGCTCTCCTCTCCTCTGCCTTCTGCACAGCTGCTTCTCAGGCACTGGGCCCAGCTGTTCCTCCTCTTCCTCATTAGCCACTTCCAGACCTGGGGGCTGTTGACTCTCCATCTGAGGGCTGACAGACAGCCCTGGCTTCTCCCCTCCCTCTCTCTCTCTCTCTGCCAGCTCCATTCTCTCTTCCCCCTCAGAGCTCTCAGGTTGTCTTTGATGCTGACCCTGACTCCCACGCCTCCTCCTGTTCATCTGATTTGGCTACTGGAGGGGCCGGGTGGCCGACAGGACACAACAGCTGCCCTGGAGTCAGGCGATCACAATCTATAACCTTCCCAGTCAGCTTCCAATAAGCCAAGTCAACGAGGGAAGCCAAATTTGCTTAACGGCGGCACGATTCAATTGTGGTCATACTTTAAGGATTACCTGTATGGTGGACTAGGACAGGGGTGTCAAACTCAATCCCGTTGGGGGGGGGGGCATATCAGGATTTTGTTCGCCCTTGAGGGACCAGGGTGGGCATGGCCTGGTTGTCACAGCTAGGCCCAGGGGGGCAGAGGTTGGTCCCTCCCTATCTCTGGGACTGTCCCACAGGTCAACTCTGGGGCCTATCGCAGGCCAAATATGGCACACGGACTGCGAGTTTGACATGTCCGGCTTAAGACGATGTAACACCAACAGACAGGGAAGTCAGCCATGCTTCGAATGTTGTTCGTCATTTAATGACCCCGTCGTCCCTTGCGGGGTGGAGTTGGGACACCTGAATGGAGTGGAGTGTTTTTTTTTTCTGGCCGGATGCCCTTCCTGTTGCCAAGGCAGTGTTTTTGTCGCAGATAGATTCTCATAGTGCCCAGCGCAAGAGAGAAATATCAGCCTCCTGACTGTGAGGTGAGAGCGCCACAATTCCCTACGTTCCTTAGCTGGGGTCGGGGGGGGGGCAGGCGGGAGGGGAGATCACTTACTTTCAGTTTGGAGAGTATTAATGACATCGTCCAGAATGCAGTCAGGAGAAAAGTCAGGAGTTTTGGACAACAAGCCCAGCAAGGAAGCGATTTTCAATCTCACGGAGGGATCGATTTCCTGTGCATAAGAGAAGGGCATCAAAACAACCATCTTGTCTGCAACCATCCCAGCCAGCTTCCGACCAGCAGAGTCAATGGAGAGCTGCATGATTCGCTTAGCGACGTTCCCTTCACTAAACCAGAGGCTGCCAACCTTTTGGACTTCAGGGACCACCAAACTCATCATTTTAAATCCCGCGGACCAGAGACCCCGGGAAAATCCCCCCCCCCCAAAAAAATGTCTGCAGGAAAATTCCCCACCCCGTTTTCCTACCGATCGATCGTTCTTTATTTGGGATCACAGGAAGATCCCATTCTTTATTTGGAATCCAGCTCCATTCTCAAGGGGAGAGAGAGAGAGAAAGAGAGACTTTTGGCTCCATGCAAGGAAAGCAGCAGAAGCTGCAGAAGTCTTTCTCTCTCTCTCTCTCTCTCTCTCTCTCTCTCTCTCTCTCTCCCAAATTCCTCCAGAAATGAGACTTTGCCTCCCAGCCTCTTGGAGCAGGAGGCCTTGCAGGGTCCCAAAGACTCATTTCTGGCAGAGTTTGGGGGAGAGAAAAAAAGACTTTGGCTGCTTTCCTTGTGTGCAGCCAAAAGCAGAAGCAGAAAGAAGCGGAAAGAAGCAGCCCGGTGGCCAGGCCAGGCACGTGGGGTGCATGGAGCAAGTCCCCCCCCTCCGCCCTTTCCCCCCTCCCCTTACTACCTCATGTGTTCACAATGCAAGCAACGCAAGCCTTGTGTTCCCGTGGGCCATGTGGGTGGCGCAGCCTTGTGTTCCCACACAGCCTGGATTGTTTGGGGGTGACATTCCTCTGTGGCCCACCAAAATTTTCTCACGGACCACCAGCGGTCCCCGGCCCGCTCGTTGACGACCACTGCACTAAATGACCACATAATTCACTGAACGACTGCGCCAAAAAAGGTCATAAAATCGGGGACAGTCCCAGGGTGCCTCGCTTATCACTCGCATCGCTTAATGACAAATTTTCCAATTAATTATTTTATTTATTACATTTAATTGCCACCGATTGTGCTGTGGGTATCGGCATTCCAGAAAACCTCAACATCAATCGGTAACTCCAAGACAGGCATGTTCTCAAAGTTTCCTTTCTATTAGAGTAGTAAACTGGCACACCTGGGAAATCCTGAATCTGAAAGTTCTGGGTTTCCCTCCAATAAGTAAAAAAAATTTACAAATCCACCCCCTGCAACCCTCATTCCATCACATGCCCCAATCACCATCCGTCTCCTCAACCACTCCTCAGCTAGGTGCAGAAATAACATGACCTTGACTTTAAAAAAAAAGAATGCTATTCGGTCTAACCATATACGCTCCATAAAATTCCCCCCTCTGGTTTTCCCCGGCTCAAGAATATGGCAGTGTGGAAGCTTCTGGTGCTAATCTATGGCTTCCAAAGCTGACAATGGGCTTATTCTAGGCTGCTTACAATAACAAACAGGAAGAAAATAAGGGTAAACAGAAAAATGAAATAAACATTGATGAACGCAATGAGAATACAGATATTCCTCGACTTAGTTTAGTTCAGTGGTCGCCAACCGGTGGGCCGGGGACCACTGGTAGTCCACGAGAAAATTTTGGTGGTCCGCAGAGAAAGGTCACCCCCAAAGCAATTAATCCAGGCAGCGCAGGAACACAAGGCTGTGCCACCCACATGGCCCACGGGAACACAAGGCTTGCGCCGCTTGCATTGCGAACACGAGGTAGTGAGGAGAGGGGGGGAAGGGCGGAGGGGAGAACTTGCCCCACGTGCCTGGCCTGGCCACCGGGCTGCTTCTTTCTTCTTCTGCTTTTGGCTCCACACAAGGAAAGCAGCCAAAGTCTTTCTTGGAGCAGGCAAGGCCGCCTGCTCCAAGAGGCTGCGCCGGCATGACAAGTCTCACAAAGACTCATTTCTGGCGGACTTTGGGGGAGAGAAAGAAAGACTTCTGCTGCTTCTGCTGATTTCCTTGAATGAAGCCCAAAGTGTCTTCCTCTTTCTTTCTCTCTCCCTCCCTCCC